CTGAGGCCCCCAGGGGTGGGTGTTGGGCAAGGCTGGTGTCCTGAGCCCCAGGGGCTGGTCCCCAGCCACACAGAGTTTCTCACAGTCTGGTGAGTCCCCCTCCCTGGGCTCCTGCATCAGAAATGTGCCTCATGGCACCCCTGTCTGTGTCTTGGGTCAGTTTTGGTTTGCAGCTCTGTGTGTCTTCCAGGTCATGCTGTCCATACTCTGTGGAACTTCAGTCATAAATACGTTTTTCCCGGGACCCAGGACGCACAGGCTTTACAATGCAGACACTGATGTTTTATTCTTATTCTGTCTGTAGAGAAGTGGAAACCTGGCTGTGAGTCTCCAGGCTGACCTTTTGAGCCTTGAGAAAGCCACCATTGCAGAGAGCGTCCCCAGAGACGCCTTCTCCTGGCCTCTCCTCTCTGGGTCACCCTGTGCACGGGGACCGTGACCACAAATCCGTAGTCTGTGTCGCTGAAGCCCGCGGTTGTTGCGCACAGCACGTATTTTAAATCTCATTGAAGGGATCGCTCCCCACTTCCAGGTCACAGAAACGGCCTCCCCGGTCTTCCCCGTGGCTTCGTGTCCTCACCTCCCAGGTCCTGAGTCATCTGGAGTCCAGAGCAGGAGGAGGCCCACCTGCCCTCTGGCTACTGCACCCACCACCCTCCTCTCCTGCCGGCTCTGCCTCCAGACTGCAGCTCCTACGCTGACCACTGGACTCTCCTCCCCTCTCCTGTCTTCTCTCCTGCCATCTCCCCACCCTCTCTTTTCCACCTGCGCTCATTCCCCTGATGAGCCCCCGGTTGAAGAGCTGTAAACTCCCTGTGTCTCCAACATCCTCCATCTTTACAGCCCAGCAAGGCCTGCTTCCTGCCCTGGTGTCTGACCCACACGTCCAGCCGCCCACCAGACACTTCCACTGGGGCGTCCAGAGGTCAAACGCAGTGTAACCCGTGGAGCTCCCACCTTCCTCTGAGTCCCTCCCCCAGCCACCCCATCTCAGGGAAGGCAGCCCCTTCCTCCCCTACATGGGGTCAAAGCCCTGGGAGCTGCCTGTCCATTCTGCCTGCACCCCACACCCTGTCACCTCTACCTCTGACCCCTCCTCACTCTCACCCCTCAGCCCAGCCCCTAGCCAGTCTGCTGCTCCTTTGTCCTCACCCAGCAGTGGAGGTGGCATCTTAAGGACAAAGTAGAGCTCAACCACATCTGTCTTGACCCCAGGCCCCCCTCAGAGCTAAGGCTGCGTCCTCGTTGACCCTGACCTCCCACCCCAGGTGTGCGCGGGCTCCATCCGTGGAATCCAGACTTCTACCCCAGCTTCTCCGGTTCTCCTTTTCTGCTTTACTCCCGTGGTGCTAGCATGTGGTCTACTGCGTGATCTGTCCACCCCTGCTCGCCCTTGCCTGGCTCTCGCTGTGACCCCAGCACCCTGCACCCCAGGGACTGCGAGCTGGGGTGCGGGAGCCAGAGGCTGCCCAGTGAGCAGGGCTCTCCCTCGGAGCAGTGGCTCCTTTGGTCCCCGGAGCTGGCATGCTACACAACTCCAGGGCCCCCGGCTCCGTCCTCGGTTGTCGGGAAGCCCTGGCTAGCGGGCAGCACCCTCTTTGCTCTTCTCTGTCACAGTTAACCCGGATATTTGAGGATCTTTGACATCCGTGCAGAATCTACAATGAGTTTGCCAGCTTCCTCTGAAGATCATGCCCGTGCTGCACCACCGTGCCGTCCGGGAGCGCATTGAGTTACTGGTGACTCTTGGGGACCCGGCTGTGTGGGGCGCCTGCCCTGCTGTGTTCGCATCCTGTCTGGGGAACTCTGACACCGCTGGAGAGCTCAGGCGGTTCAATTACATTTCTGCAGCATCAGAGGCTGTGGAGAAACGGCACTGACTTCTAGGCGGCCCTAGGGTCTGGCCACCAGGCTGAACTGTCGCTGGTTCCGGTGGCTTCTCGGGCAGTGGCTTCTTCTGCAGTTTCTTGCACACAAGGTGTGTCATTGGGCTGAGATGTGCCCAGTCTCACACAGGGACTGGCTTGCTGCCAGCACAGTGTCCCTCACTGTCTTGCCCATCTGGAAGGGCAACCTGGCCACCGGGTGTACCCCAAGGGCAGGTGCTATGTGTCAGGTGTCCAGCTGCATGCAGGGTGAGTGGCCAGCACCTCCCACCTGCCCTCCTACCCATGCCCCAAGCCAAGAAGTCCTCACCTCGTCCCCAAATCATCCTCCTCGGGTCTCTGCTCCCAGGATTTAGCTGGCTGCCCCTGACACCACTGTGCCCATTGCTCTGCCCCGGGGCCAGGCAGGTGCCTGAGACCCCTGGTCTCTCTGAGAGTCAGCCCGCTGCCCAGGGCCCAGGTCCACAGCTGAAGAGGTCAGAGCTGAACCCTAGGTGTGCCAGGACTGGGCTGGCTGCTGGGACCCTGGTGTGAGGTGGGCATGCTGGGGGCAGAGGTCAGGAGGTGGCTGCTGCCTAACCTGCCTGCCACGGTCACAGGCTTCCCAGCATCCTGTGCCCCTGTCCACTGCGTTCTCATCTCTGGGAGCGCCCAGCATCCCTTTATCTGGGCAGAAGCTGGCCTCCAACCTGGGCCCCCAAAGCCAGAGGGTGGGGCACCCTTGCCCCTCAGACTGGGGGACTCAGAACCATGAGCATCTCATCCGCCCCCCGAAGGGATGCCCTCCCAAGGGGGCAGCGGGAGGTGGGGTTGCGAGCTGTCCAGTCCAGCCTTGGCCCTCTGGGGCCTCTTCCAGCCAAATGTCCCCACCCTGGCAGCGGCAAGATGTCCCCCACCTCCTCCCAGTGTCCGAGAGGGGTAGCATGCCAAGGCCGAAGCTGGGAAGAGCCGCACCCTTGGGCAGAGCCCCATGGTGGCCTTAGTGAGACGTGCCCAGCTCTGTAGCTCTTTCTGGACACAATAGCTTGCGTAACTGGGCCAGGGGCTGCGGTGGCGGGGGAGGGGGTGGGAGTAACTCTCCAGTTACTTCCTGCTGCCCAGCTTCGGTCCTGGCTGGGTGCTCCCCGGGGGGTGAGGGATTAGTCACCGCAGGTCCATCCCACCCAGAGAGGAAGAGGCGGCTGGCCAGACATCCAATCCGCTCAGGGGGGTAGTGGCATTAATTAGGGTGCGGCCCACGGCTGTGGGGTCAGCCGGTCACTGGAGCAGCGGCTCCTGGAGCTCGAGGACCCAGAACTTCCTGCTTCCGTGGAGGGCGTCCCGTGGGGGCACTGGCAAGTGACCTGTAGATACGTTTGTCCACCTCACTCTCGGACCGTCTCCTGGGCCCAAGGGGCTGGCCTGGCCCTGAGGGGTCAGAGGCTCAGGGCTGCAAGAGCCCTTCAGCCTGTCCCTGGTCGCTCACAGGGAGGGTCGGCTCCACTGCCCACACGGCCAGAGCAAATGGCCAGGTCAGGCGGCGGGTGGGCGACTGGACCAGGGCACCCGGGCACTCTCTGCTCAGGCCTGGATGGCAGGATGGGGTGGACAGGGTGGAGGGGGCAACACCGTCCAGGTGGGTGTGCCATGTATACTGTAAAGGGCTGTCCTCACCCTCGCCCAGGGGCCTCGGGGTCCTGAGACCCCAGGCAGCCCCTTCCCCTTCCTGGGCCTCAGCCCCACTGTGCCAAGGGGCAGGGCTGGCCTCGAGGGATGGCCCAGCCACTGAGTACATAAGCCCAGATCCGGGACCCAGAACCCGGGCCTGAGCCGGTGGCGCAGGTGCCTGTATGCTGCCACCTTGTGGCGGCCACATCCCGGAGCTGGAAGGTTGCTGCCGCCGGCCCCACCCCAGCCCAGACATGGTTGTTGTGACTGAGACAGCTTGAGGTGGAAGCAGGGGGGCATCTAATTCCAGGAGCTGGGGCAGAGCAGATTGCCCACTCAGAGTTGGGGACATGAGGCCAGCTTCCTGTGTCCTTGCCACTGATCTCCAGCACGCCACCCGCCCCGGGCCTCATTTCCCTTTGTGGTACAGGCAGAAGGACAGTGAGCCCATCCTACCTTGCTGTCACAGAGGACATCCACCCCCTGCCCAGTGTCCATCCACAGATGTCCCCCTGTGGCCAGCACTGTCCAGCCTGCCAGCGCCCCTCCTTGCCAGTGTCTAGCCCAGGCCGACGTCCCAGCAATGACCAGGGTCAGCTGGCTGGCGCCTGGCCCTGTTGGCTTGTCTGCTCTGGGTGCCCCCTACCCACACCGGGTTTGGGGAGCTTAGGACCCCCTGGACATTCCTGTTCGGGACACAGCCTGGCCCTGGGACTGACCACGGGCTTCCCTGTCCCCGCCCCTCTCTGCTCCCTGCACTGTCCTGTCCAAGCAGTGAGCCCCCACCACATCCCACCCTGCCCTGGACTGCCTCCAGACCCCTGGCCACCTCCTCAGAGTGAGGGGCCAGCCCTGCCCACCCTCCTGGTGCTCCCGGGGGGCCGGGGATCAGCCTGAGGCCAGCGTGTTGCTGGGAGCGTCTGGGGGCTCTTCTGGGGCCTTCAAGGAAGATGAGATGGGCTTTAGGAAGGTGGATGTTCTCAGGGCAGTGGTGGGGGTGGCAGGGCAGGAGAGGGGAGTGACAGACTCCTAGGGCCACGTCCACCACTCTGCAGGGGGATTGGTCTCCTGTGAGCCTGCCTGTGCACACACACAAGCACACACGCACACATGCACACAGCAAGCTTGGCGTCAGTGTGATGGCCAAGTCTGGGAGCTCCGTGGAGGGAGATGGAGCTGACCCAAGAAAGTGCAGCCCTCTCGTGACTGACGTGGTCAGCTGGGTGGTAAATGCATCCTGAAGCTCTGGGCTGGTCCACTGTCCCTCGTCCACTCGTTCACTCCCTCCCTCTGTCCGCCCCAATGGGTGGATGCTCTCCCACCAGCAGACGGAGGCAGCAGGTGGCCCTCCCTGGGCTGCCAAGTGTGCAGTGGCCAGCCTACAGCGTGAGCCTTCGGTGCCTGGGTCTGCCCCGGGCCTGTTCCTGGTTTTACGGACAAGGTTAAAAATCACACAGGGTCCACAAGTTGCGAAATGCTCCAAGTGTATTTGTGAAACTGGCCCAGGGCCCAGGTAGCAGAGGCTCCTCCTCCTGGCGGCCGGCCGAGCAGCCAATCACCACGTCCGAGTGACCATCATTAAGACCCTCATGTGATGCTTATGTCTGGGAAGAGCAGCCTGGATCCACGGCCGGAGGAGCCCTGCCTGCCCGGCTAGTCCCGAGCAGGTGGCTTCAGGCTGGTCAGGGCCACCACACGTCCAGGGCCAGCTGAACCCTGGAGAGGGTAGAGGTGGGTGGACGGTGCATCCTAGACTCGGGTCACTCGGGCCAGGGCTCAGGTTCCGCTGGCCTTGGAAGCTGAGACCACAGGGAGTAAAGGACACTCTTGTCGGTCAGTCCAGGAGGGAGGCCACCCTGGGACCCCAAGGACAGGGCTCTGGGCAGGCTACTGGTGAGGCCCAGACCCCTGGGCCTCTCTTTTCCGGCGCCTGTGCTCTGTCTCCCGGCTCTGCTCGTCACCGATCTGCACAGGCCCCAGCTCCTCTGGGCCGCCACTGTGGGAGTTGCACCGCAGGCCCACGCAGCCGCACTCCTCCACCTCGGTGTAGCTGAAGGCCCGGCTGGAGCCGTCGGCGCAGTGCAGGGTCACGTTCCTCAGCGAAACCCGCAGCTCCTGGCAGCACCTGCATGTGCGCTCCACCCTGTTGGCTTCCAGGGAGTACCTGTGGGCAGGACCCGCTCAGCCGGGTGCCACGCCGGCCCCACACCCCGAGCAAACCCCACCGGGCCAGCTGCAGCCGCTAAGCTCTGGACGCCCGTGTCACAAAAACCTGTTCTCCAGGTACACTGACCAGCGTTTAACAACGGGCCCTCGTGTGCTAATGGCTGTGGTGTAAATGCTCCCACGGCCGATTCCAAGCCACCAGTGTGCCCCGACGGGCCACAGGGCCAGGGAGGGACGCACGGTGGGCTCTTGCTAGCCCGTGGGAGTCAGCTCCAGCAGGTCACCATGGGAGACACTGAGTCCGGGGTCTCAGTAAACAGAAGAGCCTAATTCTAAACAGTCTGCGGACTCTGGCCCCAGCCCTGCAGCCCAGCCTCCTAATCCGGCTGCAGGCCCCTCGCAGTCATAATTACTGCTCCCTTTCTGTCCCTACCGGGTCCTGCCTCTCGTCTGCCCAGCACCCTGAGCCCCCGGTGGCCGACTGAGCCACATTCCAACCACATCTTCTCTGAACCCTGCCCTGTGAGGGCCCTCTGGGGGTGAGGGGAGACAAGGGGCTGTGCCGGGCTGAGTGAGGGGCTCACGTACATGGAGGTGGTGTCCCCACAGTTGCCCTGGCAATAGGTGAGGCGCACGGGCCCCGAGGAGCTGCAGCCCTGCTGCCGGATGACCTGGTGCTTGTCGTAGACTGCGCAGGTCGATCCTGGGGAGGACACGGGAGGCAGCACAGGAGGTCAGGACCGGCTGGGCCTCCCCAGGCCTCCCGGGCCGGAATTGGTCACCCACCCCCGGCAGACACGCCCACTCACTGTTCTGGGGCTGGGGTTGGGGACAGGAGAGACAGCAGCCGTCCTCGCTCAGCCGAGCCTGGTCCTGTGCCGACAAAGGGGTGCCGTTAGTGCTGGGGAGGCCTCTCAGCAGACCACCCAGAAATGGGCAGACGGGGAGGCTGGGCCAGGCTCAGGCAGGAGCGGACAGCACCCCATGCAGGAGGGCGGTGCCCCTGCCAGTACTGCATGGGGGGCTCCCTACTCCTGCCTTGGGGCTCAGGCGCCTGTCGGCCCATGCTGGGCAAGGTGGGGCAGGGGGTTCCCAGAACTCACCAAGGGACAGCTGAGTTGAGGGCATGCCTTCCTCATGGTCACCACCACGAGCCCATCCCGGTGCTTCTCACACTCGTATGTCACACAGCGGTTCCCAGGGTCTGACCAGGACTTGCCAGGCTGCAAAGAGGCCCGACCAGCATGGTGAGTGTCTCTCCCCAAGGCACCTCCCTCCAGTAGGGTGGGCACCGCCTCTGTCTGTCTGTCCTCCCAGCCTGTGGGCTTCCAGAAAGTCCCCCTGGCCTCAGCCAGGCGCATGCCCTGCAATGACAGCTGCCCAGGGGCCCGAATGCCAGGACCCTGCCTACTCAGCATCCCGCTGTCACTGTGCACCTCACAGGCTCTCCATTCGTATGGGGCTCGGCCCTGAGCCCTGGCCTCCCTGGAACTCCTGGGAGGGGGGTCTAGGGGCCTCGCCTCCAGCCTGAATGGATCCCATGGGCCGCCCCACCCAGGACTCACTCCAAGGCCCTGAGGCCCCCCAGGCCGCCCCTGGCAGCCACGACTCACGTAGAAGAGGTGGGCTGAGCTGTCGCTCGTGTTCATGACGCAGGCCATCTGCACGCACTCACCGCAGCATTGCCCGCTTCGCGCCTGGTACTCGAAGCCCTGGAGGGGAGGGGTGGACATGCGGCCTGAGCCCCAGCTGGTGCTGCTGAGGGGGTGCGGGGTCATGGGGGGCACTCACCACGGGGCAGTAGGTGTTGCAGATCTGGGTCTCACAGCTGATCACGAACGTGTCCGACTCGGGGCCGCCGGTCACCTCGCACCTGCATGTTTCGCACAGGGTCGAGGAGACCACCGCACCGGGCTGTGGAGAATCAGCACGGGCAGCCTTAGTGAACTGGGGCGGGCCCGGGGCCCCTGCCTTCCTGGACATCCCCTCTAGGCCTGGGCCCCACCGGGCCAACCTGTCCCCCCAGGGTGACCCTCGGTGGCACCTCCTGGCAGAAGTCCCCGTCTCGAGGGCAGAGCCTCAAGGCTGGGCCTCCATGGAGGTCACATGCTCTAGAGGGCCCGGCTGGGAGAAACCGAGGCTGGGAGGCCTCATCACATCAGCACCTGAGTTTGGTCCCAGAGAGCCCACGGCTGCTCCAGAGTCGCCCCCAGCCCACAGGGCCCTGGCGCTGCCAGCAGACCCAGTCTGGGGAACAGCTGCAGGAGTGGGGGATGCTCAGTTTCCTATGTGCCCCGGGGGTCCTAGCCTCCGGCTGGTTCCTACCTGATACAAGGTGCCGTTGACACTGCAGACAGTCCAGCCTGTTCAGGAGACATGTAGGCCTGTCTTGTCACGAGACTCGCCCTCGACGTGCCGCACCCCCACCCCACCCTCACCTCCTCCAGCCCCCCCAACCCTGCCCAGCCCCACTCCCGCCACCGCCAGCCTCCTGAGCACACAGGTGCCCACGCGTGTCACCAGAGTGTCCCAGCCCAGGGCCACAGGCCAGTGGTGGGTGAGCCACGGCTCCTTTTGGTGTCATCCCCGAGCCACAGCGAACCCCGAGTGAGGCTGGGTGCCCAGCCTGCGGCGTGCACATGCGGCCTGGAGATGGTGGGGACCGGCCTGGTGCCATCTGGGCAGTGGGGCTGGGACACTCACTGCAGTTTTGTTTTGGGCAACAGGACCCCTCCTCGTACGCCAGGGTCAGGCGGGAGCCTTTGGGACAGTCCAAGGGCGCGGGGCAGGAGCTGGTGTTGCAGGCTGTGGTGGGCAGGAAGGGGACACTCAGGAGACCTGCATCCCGCTCTGTGCACGTTCTTCTCCCCCCAAACCCCTGGCATGAGTGTCACCCCCAGGGGTCTCCAGGAATGCTGACTGCCCAGGGAGCCATTGGTGGGCTCTCCATGGGGGTGTGAGCCACCCTGGGGGCAAGACTTCCGGTCAGCCTAGGTGAGGAGCCCCCTGCCCTCCCTGGCACACATACTCCCAGAGCATGCCTGCTGGGGTCAGCAGATGAAGCCACAGTGGAGAGGTGCTGCCCCATCCTCCTTGGCTGCGCCCCCCCCCCCAGGTGCCACCACATGGGACCCTCCGGGGCAAAGCCGGCCAGCCGTGGGTCAGTGCGTGTGTGACCCCTGCAGGCATGGGGGCAGCAGCTGTCCCCCACCAAGCCCGAGGCTCACCACAGCTGTACTGGGGACAGCACTGGCCGGCCTGTGGGGCCGCAGCCACAGGCACGAAGCCAGGTTCGGGGCAGTGGGGCAGTGGGCAAGACTGTCTGCGGCAGCTCATCTTCCACGTGCTCCCATCACAGGTGCACTCCTGGCAGTCGATGCTGACATTGTGGCCGGGCTGCAAGGGGAGGCACACATGAGCCCCTGCCGTGGGCCACCTGCCTGCCTCAGGGGCAACTGCAGCTGGCAGGGGGAGTGGGAAGCCACGGCCGAGGGCCCAGGGGAGCCCGAGGGAGGGGGCTTCAAGGTGACAGGTAGTGGCTGAGGCCCATGGGGGCCGGGAGACGGGGTGAGAGGGGCTGTGCAGGTGACCGGCCTCTCCCTGCAGCCTCCACCTTCATAATGTCCGAGCAGAGGAAGGGGGCAGCACAGTGGAGGACAGCCTGTGCCCACACATTCCTCCAGGGCCGAAGGCACATGCCCATGGAAGCCTCCGGAGTCTTGCTGGGGAGGCCTTGTCCCCTCCCAGCCTACCCTGAGCCTCTGGCACTGAACTGAAGCCCCCGGCCCCCTGAGCAGGCCACACTCACCTCCACAGGCTCCCCATGGGGCCCCTGGCATCCTGCAGGGAGAGAGACGGAGGTCACTGCTGGGCAGCCACAGCTCCCAGCCCCTCGGGGGCCTGACCTGTGTCGGGGGCTGGGGTGGATCCCGAGTCTGACGCCCCAAGAGGGGCCGTGCATCCTGGCACACGGGTGGAAGGTGCACCCTCCAGCCCCAAGCCCACCCGTGGCACATACTCGGGCAGCCTGTGGGTACGCAGACATCAACGCTTGTGCTGAAAAGCATCATGTCCTCTGGGCAGAAGCAGCCTTCTGTGATGGGTCCAGCTTCCTGGAGGGCCCTGTGGGAAGCAAAGGGTTGGCCTGGCCCCTGTGCCCTGCAGGGTGGGGAGGGGTCAGCTGGGGGGCCCCTGAGGGCTCTAGGGGGTACAGGAGGGTGGGGCAGGTGCATACATGAGGCTGATGTGGTCGTCCCCGTGGCAGTGGGGGGGATTGGACGGGCCGCAGGGCCGGTACACTTTGTGGGGAGGGCAGGTGAAGGCTGTGTGAGAGAGAAGCCATGTGTGAGGCCAGGGGCACCAGCTCCATACCCCCTCCAAGCCCCAGGCACCTGCCGATTGCTGGGGGCTCTGGCCTGGGAGCTGGGCCCCTCAAGCTCCATTCTTCCATGTGCCCCTGCAGAGCTCTGCCTGTTGGAGCCATGAACGCCACCCCTGCACCCAGGCCTGGAAGTCCCTCCTTTCTCTCCGGGAACCAAATGCACTCTGCCCTGGAGTCAGCCCACCTCCTCCCTCAGGAAGCCCACCCTGACTGCCTGAGCCCACCCTCTCAATGTCTGCCCGGCACGTCTGTGCCCTCGCCACATGCCCACTGCCCCTGCCTGGTGGGGTGGGGGTGTCCTGAGGCCAAGGCTGGGGCAGACACTCACAGCATGTGTGGTTGGTCCGGCCCCTCCAGTCAATGCACACGCCCTGCGAGGCACAGAGCGCAGCATACAGCTCCAGGCCGGAGCACACCACGTCCAAGTCGGTCACGTGGCACTGGTCAAACACACAGCCTTGGTAGAATGGCCCTGGGGAGATCATGGAGTGGCACGGCTCGAAGACCCTGTGGGACAGAGATGCACAGGTCATGGGACAGCTTCGGGCCAGGGCTTCTGGGCACTGAACATTCCCCCACTTTCCCGAGGAGTGAAGTCACTGAGCCCCCCAGAGTGCTGAGTGACCCCAGCCTTGGGACCATCTGTGTGTGCCAGGGAGGGTGTCCAGCTGCAGCATGGCTGTTTCTTTCTCAAACTCTCCACTGGACCACCCCTCTGGCCTGCAAACGCGGGTGCTGCCCGGTAATGACTGATGGCCAGACTCACAGTGTGCTGGGTGGCAGAGCCTCAGAGGCTGACCCGCCCGGTCAGCCCAGCCTGCGCCCTGCACCTGGCCTTCCACCAGTGATGACTCTGCAGGCCCACTTCTTCCCACCAGCCCCCAAAGGGTAGGGTTGTCCCCGCCACCACCAGGCCCTCCAGAATCTTACTCGCTCAGAATCAGCTGGCAGATTGGCGAAGGTGGGCAAGAGGCAGGCGAGGGCGTGGGCGTGGGCCCGGCAGTGGGCGTCGGGGGAGGCCCATGGCAGGACGGCTGGTCGGGGTTTGTCACCTTCCAGTGGCCTGCCATCTCGGAGCAAGAGGCCACCACCGCCCCCCCAGGCAGGCGGCACTCCTCCTTCGGGTCATTGGTGCAGGTGCCTGGGCCAGGGAGGCAGGAGTCAGGCCAGCTGGGGACAACTGGAGCCACCCCCACCCTCTTGCAGGGCACAGTGTCCCCTGAGCTGGCTGTCAGGCCAATGCCTTGGGGAACACCCGATGGATTGGCTGAGGGACCTGCCCAGACCCCTGACCTATTTGTGCTTTCCTTTCTCCCCAAGAAGCCAGACTCTGGGGCCGTCCCATGGAGGACAGACAGGTGCAGGCCTCAGGCCTGGAGCAGGTGGCCAGCCCCCTGTGCCGTGCTGCCCGGAAGGCTCTTGGTGCAGGAGGAAAGCAGAGACACCCGCAGGCTCCGTGCCATGCAGGTGGCCTCACCCCCCCACCGAGAATGCGTTCCCCCCGGGCCTTGCTCAAGGCCGACCCTTCTCACACTGGACACTCTCAGCAACATTTAATGATCAGGGAAAGGGCTGGGTGTCAAGAGAGCTGAGGCAGGGGCCGGAGCGGGGGGCCGGGACAGGGGGCTCACCACACTGCCCCTCCGTGTTGTTTGCGAACTTGCTGAAGGGCACCTCCACCGAGAAGATGAGGCCGGAGAACATGACCTGGACGCCGATCTCGGGGATGGTCACGTACATCTTGATACCAATCTGAGAGACGTCGATGCCATCTTTCTGGAAGCCGGGGCTGACCACTTTACCATTGAAGATGATCTGGACACCAGGACACAGCCGAGGGGAAGACAGAGTGAGGGCAGGAGGTCAGCCCCGCTCGCCCCCCACCGCTGCCCACCCCGCACACGTAGGAGCTGCTGGGCGGGCGTCCCCACCTCATTGGTCATCACTCCCCGGACTGGCTTGCGGGTCATCATGACACGGTCCTGCCGGTACTCGACGATGATGGACTGCGGGCAGGACAGCCCGTCCTCGGCGTCGCAGAAGTAGTTGTCGATGAGCACGCGGAAGTGGCCGTACACAGGCACAATCTGCTGCACCAGCACGTACGTGCAGTTGTCCAGGAAAGTGTAGTAGGTCCCGTCGAAGGTGATGTAGTGTGGGTCGCCCCAGCCGCTGCACACACCTGCAGGTGCCAGGAGCTGCTTTACACGCGGCCTCCCCCCGACCCCCAACCCGGGTGATCTGTGCCGGTCACCTCGGGCAGCAGTGGAGGCTGCAGGGGACCCACATTCCCAGCACTGGCCAGAGCTCTACCCATTAGGTGCTTGGTGAGGCCTGAGTGGCGGGGCTGGACCCCTCCACTTCTCCTGCCTGGCACAGCTGGGCCTCATGGGCTGGCTCAGGATCCCACTCCACACCCTGCTGGGCACCACCCGTCCCCTGCCTAGCTGTTGGGAAGTCTTTCCTGGTGTCCAACTCAGTTCTGTCCTGCCTGAGCACAGCCCCTCCCGGCCCCACCGCCTGGCCTGGCTCGTGGCTCACATTGGCACTCGTAGTGTGGGCAGCAGCTGTCCTGGTCAACCACCTGCACGGCGGGGTAGCCATTGGCACAGGTGGGTTCCTGCACCGTCGGGCACTGGCGCGGCTGCAGAGTGATGATGTTGTGGCCCTCGCAGGTGGCCTGAGAGCAGTTGGGCATGTTCCAGGTCTCGCCTTTCTGTGGAAGCAGAAGCAGCTGCAGGGCCCCCCCGCCAGGCACCGACCCCCAGACCCCCCTGCAGCTCATGGGCCTGGTGATGCCTGTGGTCTCCCCGGAGCAAGGTGGGCAAGGGACCCAGACTGGGGCTGTTCCCTGGGGCCCGGCATTCACGCCAGGCCTCCTCCGCCCCCACGCCCACCCAGGGCTGGCTGGCCAGGGGATGTCTCTGAGTGTGAAGACGGTGCCCCCTCTTGGCACATTCCCACCCTGTCCCCCACAATGGGGCTCCCAGTCTCCACGCCCAGGCCTCTACCCTGTCCCCCACACCCTCCCTGGCTGTCTGGCCCCATCCAGAGCACCGACCCCTGCTCTGGCCCCGGGTCATACATAACCAGTAGAGTGTCAACCTCAGGCCCCACACTCCTGGCTCCCCGGTGGGTCCCCCATCCAGAAGTCCTGGATGACCAGACTCGCTACTTCCCAATGGTCAGCCTGCATGGGCCAGGGGTCACCGACTTTCATGCCACTTGAAGTCACATAACTGGAAAACCTCTGGGGGTCTCTGCCCTAGTCCCGGAGAGGCCCGAGAAGGGCGGGAAGGGGGAGGTTACCATTCTTGGGGGGGATATGTTTGAGCATCCATGGTGAGTGACAGGCACAGGGCCCGAAGGGGACGACGCAGGCGAGGAGGTGGCCGGGGCGGGAGGTGGCGTGCTGGTGGGGCAGGTTTCGTCACTCCGCCTGACCACGTGGCAGTCCAGGCTGCACACCGCGTAATAGCAGTGGCCGGCGAGGTCGATCTGTTGGTAAATGATGGATCCTAGAAGACGAAAGGACAGGCAGGCGTCAGTGGAGTCATGCTGGACGAGGCATCACGGGAAGCAGCTCTGGCCAGGCGGGCAGTCCACCCAGGGGCTGATCTGAAAGGTGGGATTCCTGCCCAGATGCAAATGGAACAAATGCTCAAAGAGAGCTTATTGTCACTCCCTAGAAAACCTCCAGCCCTGTCACAGAGACGACCCACTCCTTCACACTGTGGCTTTTTCTGGATGGGACACCAGGGAACAGACTGAGCACACAGCACACACTACAAGGAAGACGAACATACCTGCTGGGTAGAGCTTGCGGGACACACTACAATAGCAGGTCGAGGGGGAGGGCAGTGGGGAGCTGAGTGACTTCACGGTAGATACCACAGAGGTGGGTTCTGAAGGAGGCGAGTGACGAATAGATGAAGTGACATGGGGGCTCACGGAGGATCCACTGATTTCCTGCTCAGTTCTTGGGCTGGGACCAAGCACAGAGGTGGTGCTGGGTCTCGGCACAGGGGTTCTGCTGGTTTTCGGCACGGAGGTTGTCCTGCTGGTGGCCACGTGGGAGGTCGCCTCGGGGCTGGAGCTGCTCACCCTGGAGGTGCTGGGCACGGGGACAGGTGTCGGGGGCGGGCAGCCTTCGCGGGGCTCGCAGCACAGCACGCGGATCTCGTAGTTGAGGCACGTGCTGCCGTGGCCCTCCTGGTCCCGGTTCCGGCACACCAGGCCCACGTCGGGGTCGCACTGCACCACCTGGCCCAGCTGCTGGATGCTGACCTCGGGGTGGCTCTCGGCCCGGCACTCCAGGTGCGTGATGTACTCAGGCCGGGTGCAGAGCTCCTCCCCGCTGCGGAGGATGTTGCTGTAGGTCTCAGAGTCGCCGCCGTGGGGCCCGGGGGACGGGAATTCCACATCGAACCACTTGGTCCACTTGCACTGTGGCTGGCATCTGCTGGTCGCAGGTGGGCTGTGGCTCGTCTCCGGGCCACCAACGGACGTGGTGCTGCTGGCAGGAGCTGGGCTTGTGCCGGCTCTGTGCCCGGAGGTCGGGCTGCTTCCCGGCACGGAGGTTGTGCTGGTTCTCAGCTCCGTGCTTGGGCTGCTTCCAGGTGCCGTGGCCTTGCTGGGTCTTGGCACAGAGGTTCTGCTGGTTTTCTGCACAGGGGTCGGGCTGGTCCCCGGCGCGGAGGTTGTGCTGGTTCTCACCTCCGTCTTTGTGCTAGTTTCCGGCACGGACGTCGGTCTGGGTCCTGGCGCGGAGGTGGTGCTGGGTCTCGGCACAGGGGTTCTGCTGGTTTTCGGCACGGAGGTTGTCCTGCTGGTGGCCACGTGGGAGGTCGCCTCGGGGCTGGAGCTGCTCACCCTGGAGGTGCTGGGCACGGGGACAGGTGTCGGGGGCGGGCAGCCTTCGCGGGGCTCGCAGCACAGCACGCGGATCTCGTAGTTGAGGCACGTGCTGCCGTGGCCCTCCTGGTCCCGGTTCCGGCACACCAGGCCCACGTCGGGGTCGCACTGCACCACCTGGCCCAGCTGCTCGATGCTGACCTCGGGGTGGCTCTCGGCCCGGCACTCCAGGTGCGTGATGTACTCAGGCCGGGTGCAGAGCTCCTCCCCGCTGCGGAGGATGTTGCTGTAGGTCTCAGAGTCGCCGCCGTGGGGCCCGGGGGACGGGAATTCCACGTCGAACCACTTGGTCCACTTGCACTGTGGCTGGCATCTGCTGGTCGCAGGTGGGCTGTGGCTCGTCTCCGGGCCACCAACGGACGTGGTGCTGCTGGCAGGAGCTGGGCTTGTGCCGGCTCTGTGCCCGGAGGTCGGGCTGCTTCCCGGCACGGAGGTTGTGCTGGTTCTCAGCTCCGTGCTTGGGCTGCTTCCAGGTGCCGTGGCCTTGCTGGGTCTTGGCACAGAGGTTCTGCTGGTTTTCTGCACAGGGGTCGGGCTGGTCCCCGGCGCGGAGGTTGTGCTGGTTCTCACCTCCGTCTTTGTGCTAGTTTCCGGCACGGACGTCGGTCTGGGTCCTGGCACGGAGGTGGTGCTGGGTCTCGGCACAGGGGTTCTGCTGGTTTTCGGCACGGAGGTTGTCCTGCTGGTGGCCACGTGGGAGGTCGCCTCGGGGCTGGAGCTGCTCACCCTGGAGGTGCTGGGCACGGGGACAGGTGTCGGGGGCGGGCAGCCTTCGCGGGGCTCGCAGCACAGCACGCGGATCTCGTAGTTGAGGCACGTGCTGCCGTGGCCCTCCTGGTCCCGGTTCCGGCACACCAGGCCCACGTCGGGGTCGCACTGCACCACCTGGCCCAGCTGCTCGATGCTGACCTCGGGGTGGCTCTCGGCCCGGCACTCCAGGTGCGTGATGTACTCAGGCCGGGTGCAGAGCTCCTCCCCGCTGCGGAGGATGTTGCTGTAGGTCTCAGAGTCGCCGCCGTGGGGCCCGGGGGACGGGAATTCCACGTCGAACCACTTGGTCCACTTGCACTGTGGCTGGCATCTGCTGGTCGCAGGTGGGCTGTGGCTCGTCTCCGGGCCACCAACGGACGTGGTGCTGCTGGCAGGAGCTGGGCTTGTGCCGGCTCTGTGCCCGGAGGTCGGGCTGCTTCCCGGCACGGAGGTTGTGCTGGTTCTCAGCTCCGTGCTTGGGCTGCTTCCAGGTGCCGTGGCCTTGCTGGGTCTTGGCACAGAGGTT